CTCCGCTGCTTCGCTCCCTTCTGCAGCACTTGGCTTCCTTCTATGCAGTCTTCAGTCTTCGCTCTGTGCCTGTGTATGCAAATTAACCGCCATCTTTGTTGGGTTAATTTGCATATCGCTCTGATTGGCTGGTGGTCATAGCGGAGTGATGGCCAATTTGCATGTTTCTCTTTTATTAGTGTAGATAATAAAAGGGTAATATGCAAATTGACCCTAACAGCAGAATGACCGAGAACGACCGGTCGCTATGATGTGCACTGACCACTAGGGGGCAGACGCTCAACGCAGGAGCTGCCCCCTGGTGGTCAGTGCACTTCCACAGGGGGAGTGCCACTCAAGCAGAAGCCGGCTCATGGCTGGCCAGCGCAGCGGCAGTGGCAGGAGCCTCTCCCGCCTCCACAGCAGCGCTAAGGATGTCTGACTAATGGGCCTAAGCCATTAGTTGGACATCTCCTGAGGGCTCCCGGGCTGCCATTGGGATGTCTAACTGCCAGCTTAGGCCTGATCCCTTGGTGGCCAAAAGTTTGGCCACCTGTCTCCAAGCTGGCAGGTGAACATCCCCTGAGGGGTCCCAGACTGCAAGAGGGTGCAGGCTGGGCTGAGACACACCCCCCCCTAGTGCACAAATTTTTGTGCACCAGGCCTCTAGTTTTTAATAAAATGCATTAAAACAGTCTTTTTGGCCATTTCACAAAACACTTTGAGATTACCAGGGAAGCCTGATATGTTAGAGATTCCCAAGTCTGGAAGGATTTATAAAGGACATCTAATCCCCCAGCTGATGTTTGGATTGCCTGTATAGCAACCTCATCAATCACCCAGCTTCTGTGTGCACACTTCTGAAGACAAGGAACTTACTACCTCTCCTAGCAGCTGTGAGTTTAGAAATTTCCTTCTGCTACTGAACCAAAACTGTCTTTAATTAGTTCTGAATCCAGAAAAACATATCTGTTCCCTCTCCCCAGGAAAGCCCTTCCTCTGAAAACAGTTAACTGTCTCCCCCTGAGGCCTCTCAAGCTGCACAAACCCCAGGTCACTGACTGTTCCTCCTGGGATCAAGTTGTTCAGCCTCCTGAACCAGCCCACCTGCAGAGAGCTGCCCAGAGCTGCCTTTGCTCCCCTGTACCTAGGCTTCCTCTTGCTCCTTGTGAGCCACTGTTGCCTGGCACAGCCACTGCTTTCCTGAAGGGTAAGGACTGATGCAGCCTGGAGACCTGGTGGCCAAACTACTCCCTTCTCTACACGTTTGTTCCTTGCAGCATATAAACGTGTGTCACGTCACTAACTTTCTGATGTTAAAACAGACTTCTTCTATATCAGGTTCTCCTCTGGCTACCTTTTCAACTCAAAAAAAATTTTTTTTAACTCAGTTTTTTCTCTTCCGCCTTTGTCCAACTGATTGGATGAGGCTCACCCACATAATGGAGAGCAACCTGTTTTACTCAAAACCTACTGGTTTAAATGTTAATCACATCTATAAAATACTTTCACAGCAACACCTAGGCTGGTGTTAGAACAAATAACTGGGCACCATGACCTAGCCAACTGGACACATAAAATTAACCATCACAATGAATCAACTTCCTCCCTGTGAGCCTCAGCTTCCCCATCTGTAAAACAAAGAGCTGTGATAATGTCCTAGGATTCTATAAAGAACTTGAACCTCTCAGAAACATTAACACTGCTCCCTTCTTGTCAAAACATTTTCACTTCTAGGTTATATTATACACTCTCCTGGTTTTATCTTCGACTTCAACATCCACTCCCCTTTTGTTTTATCTTAACTGTGGGAAGGCTCCAAGCCCAGTCTCAGGCCTTCTTCTCTTGTCTATCTACACTCTCCCTAGGTGATTTCATGCAGTCATGGGCACAAAATATCTTGAACCCCAACTTCATTTATATCTTCACTCCTGACCACTCTCCTGAGCTCCCAGACTCATATACCAATTGCCTAACAGCATCTCAAACTAGTCTAAAACAGAACCTTTGATTTCCCCACACACCTCTGTTCTTTACCTGTATTTTCCCATCTTAGTAAATGACATCATTATCCACTCAGTTGCTCAGGCAAAACCCTAGGAAGCAATTGTCTTTGATTTGACTCCTTCTGTTCCTTAACACCCTGACACCAAATGTATCAACATGACCTCTCAGTTCAACCTCCAAAATAGTCCCTAATCCAACCTCTTCTCATTGTCACTACTATCACTCCAGTCCTACTGCCTTCATCTCTCACCTGCACTTTAATGGTCCTGATTGGGCTCCCTGCTCCCCTCTGGCCCCCACTATGATCCATGTTCCATACATTGGGCCCAGCAAAGCAGCAAGAGTTCGCTCTTCAAAGTATAAATCAGATCACATGTGATTTATGCATAATCAGTGGCCTTCCATTCCATCGAAGTAAAATGCAAATTCCATGACTCAGAAGGTCTGGATCTGCCACTTGACTCCTAAAAGCCTCTTTTGCCACTTATTCACTCTGTACCAGCCACCTGACCTTCAGTCCTTTTTTTTTTTTTTCTGTCCCTAGAATGTGCCTACGATTTGCCATCTCCGGTTGTTTTCCTTCCCCAAGACACTCTTCACCCCAATGTTTGTATGATTAGCTCCTTATTACTATACCTCTCAACTCAAACATCATTTCCTCAGAGATGCCTTCTGTAACCCTCTAATTTAAAAATCTAAAGTAATTATCCCATCTGCCAATATCCCATTCTACTTTTTTTAAAGTACTTCTCACTATGTGAACTTAGCTTGTTGATTTACTGCCCTATTTACTTCTTGTCTAACTCATCCCCCACCTCCCAATATAAGCTCTTTGAAGGCAAAGACCATCTTCTCACTGCTGAATCCCTAGCACCTGGCATATGTTAAATGTTCAATACTTTTCAATGGATGCTTTCTCAAATTAATAGCTCAGTATTTTTTTAATAAATGTATGAGAAAACTTGGCCCAGTGTCAGAATCTTCTGTAATTCTAACAAACTAAAAGATTCTGAATATAGGTGGGGGTCCAGGAATTTTCATTTTAATAAATACCCAGGAGACTGGGCAGAGGTCCATAGACCACACTTTTGAGAAACACTGATTTATTCATTCTTACAAGCATTATGCAGGTAGGTGGCAGCGTTTCAAAGAGGTAAATTGAGGATTAAGAGAATTGAGTCACTTGCCCAAAGTCCATAAATCAGCAAGTGAATTCTAATAAGAAATTATAATTTAGAAATAGCTTAATCCTCACATGTAAGTTAAACACACACACACACACACACACACACACACACACACACACACACTTTTTCCATCTATTTTATGCCAGTCATAAATTCTTGACCTTCATCTCATTCATTAAAACAAAGCTTAGACTTTCATAACTCCATCTGAATGACTACAATAAATTGTTCAGGTCAAACAAGAAATATTTCAAGGAATCACCAGCAGAGAAAATGAGATCCTTGAAAGAAAAAAAGGATTAAAGAAAATGAAACCTTAGCTCTAAAAGTAAACTGTGTTTATAAAAGAAGTAATCAGAAATTGCTTTGAAGGAAGATTTGCCTTCCAAAATGATCTGAACAGGTGGAATGTTTGAGAAGTAATTCCAGATGCCACTTGCTGGTATAGCACTGCAACACCACAGTGGGGGTGGTGGGAGTGGGACGTGGTCAAATTAGACTCAAGTTTGCATAACAACATGTGCTAAGTTTGGCAAGGCTGTTTATTTGCACTAGGAAGTTGGCAAGGTGTGCTGCTGTCCACCAAATGACACTTTAAAACCCAACTTTACTTCTATAAAGAAAACAATCTACACTGCTTTTCATTTTATAACTTTCACAAATCAGAGCTTTTGATATGATCCTGGGCAACAGGCTAGCACCCTGCCTAACTCTGAATAGAAAATACATACCAGATCCAAGATCTACCTTTATTAAAATCCCTGTTAAACTCTAGAGCATTTCCAAATGTCAAACCTGTCACAAAATTGGCTGGGCCAATTTTCTTAATTCCTTTAAGGTATTCTCATTCCCTTCCTTTTACTTGCCAGGCCTTACTCTAAGCTAGCTTTTAGGAATGGAATACGATCTACAGCAGCACTGCCCAGTGGAAATATAATGCAAATCACGAATGCAAGCCATGTTACGTTTTGTAGTAGCCACATTAGAAAACCAGGTGAAGTGAACATTTTTAATCCCCAAATTACCATTTTAACATGGAATCAATACTTAAACATGCAGATATCTTTCATTCATTCTTTTGTACTTCAATGCCTGATATCCGGTGTGTATTTTACTGCACATCTCAATTTGGTCTAGCCACATTTCAAGTGTTCAATGGCCATGTGACTAGGGGCTACCATATAGACAGAGACGGTCTAGAGACTTGCTACTCAAAGTGCAGTCCACAAATTAGAAGCAGTGGCATCATCCGGAAACTTTTTCCAAATGCTGAACCTCACGCCCCACTCTGGACCTACTGAATCAGAATTTGCATTCTAACAAGACCCCTAGGTGACTGCATGCACAATAAAGCTTGAGAAGCACTGGTCCAACTGGTCATTGGTCTCAGGTTCATCTGTCACACAGAGGTGATAATACTTTGGAGAACTGCTGTGAAGATTTCTAGTGCTTTACTTCATAGACATAATGGCTGGGACTTTAATAAATGGTAACTATTATTTAAGAGGCACTGTCACAGAGTGGGCTTTAGAGTTGGACAGAAAGGAGTATAGATTCTGGTTCTGTCACTTATAAGCTCTGTGACCTTGAACAACTCGCTTAACTTGAGGCTGAGTTTTCTTAACTCTGAATTGGAGCTAATACCTTTCTTCCATGGGGCATTCAATATGGTGGCATATATATATATATATATAAATAAATAATTATTGGCTGGGCCATATTGGGGTGGCAACAAATCAAGCTAAGCTGCCTTGTTATTTCAGATGGCCTTTCATCCCAAACCAGTATTATTTCCTGTGGCTCCAGTCCATATTTCATAAGCAGAACTTAAGGAGAGCAAAAACGTTTATTTGAAAAAATTACTATGTATTGAAAATATACATTAGAAATTATTACATACTTCCATAGCATTCCCCTCCCCCACCACAAAAGTAGAAATATCTGCTTGCTATGCTAATGTCATAGGTAAATTCAAACAAAGAGGAAAACATCAGCCCCTTTCCTCATACATTAGAGATGGGGCGGGGGGAGGTCAACTTTTATCTGCCAATCAATAGGAGTTTAACAGGTCCCAGTCTTCCACAGCAAGACACACATATTTTTGCTTTGAAGACTGTGAAGAGTTACTCTGTTCCTTTTCTGGCTCCTCAAAACCTCTCTTCTTGCTCTTCTTTGACTCCTGGCTTGAGACAGCTTCGAGTTTCAACAATGGCCCATGGCAGTCTGGGGCTTTCTCTCTATAGAACTGGAGTTTCTCAGAAGAGTTCATGTGCGTGTCTGCCAGGGGACACTTCCCTGGGGTTTCTGTTTGAGCCCGCTTCCCATCTGTAAGAGCAACAAAAGGAAGGGTGATGAGTTTACTACGCTGGCATGCTAATGCCTGCCTAGGTCTAGAAAGATGATCCAAAGAAAACAACATAGGTCCAAACAGGGAGATGTCTGCATTAATTTTATTCCCTTTTGAGTGCCCTACAAAGTAACAGTGGTCTATGCACTAGCACAGGTTGAAGGCGTGTACACTGCCACTTCCTGGATAAGAGACCTTGGGCAAGTGACTTGAGGATCAGTTTTCTCATCTTTGTAGGGATATAAAACCTATTTCATAAGGGTGATATAAAGATAAATGAAATAATGTACATAGAGTGCTCAGCACAAGGCTTGGCACACAGTAAAAGCTAAAAAATATTAGCTATTATTATTAAAAATCAGGACTTGACTGTCTTCCAAAGAGCCAAATTTATGGCACAACTCTAGCAAACGATATGACATTATGTATTTCTTTTTTGGCATACCCTAGCTTCTTGTTTTGTTACCTTTATTTTCCCTTCACTTCGATATTATCACTTAGCCTCATTTTTAAAAGTTATGGTAAAATATACATAAATAAATTCACCATTTTAACCATTTTTAAGTTTACAGTATGTGGCATTAAGTGCATTCACATTGCTGTGCTACCACGTCCACCATCTAACACTAAACTGTTTCATTTTGCAAAACTGAAACTCCATACCTATTTAAACAGTAACTCCCTAATACCCCTCTCCAGTCCCTGACAACCACTCTTCCACTCTGTCTCTATGAACTTGACTATTCTAAAAGCCTCATATAGAAAGAATCACACAATATTTGTCTTTTTCTGATTGGCTTATTTCACTTACCATAATGTCTTCATGTTATAGCATGTGTTAAAATTTCCTTCTCTTTTAAGGCTTATTATAATATTCCACTGTATGTAAATAATACATTTTGTTTATCCATTAATCTACTGATGAACACTTGAGTTGCTTCTACCTTTTGGCTACACTTAATTCCTTTTGAATCTCTGTAATCTATCTATGCAAATCATTTCTGGAACAAGATGGGATATAAATACATACATACATTTAATAAGCTATTTTCCTTGTACTGGTGTTCAAAGTGTACTCTAAACCACCGGTTGCCAACCTTTTGGACCTCACGGACCACCAGTGGTCCGCGGACCACCGTTGGCGACTGCTGCTCTAAACTATTTGAGAACACAAGTCTTGGTGATCTAATTAAGTTGGCACTATCACAATTAATTTTCCCATTGTGTGAAAACAAGTTAACTGCTTTAAGGGTGCAAAAAACCTAAGGGCGAAAAGGGAATTCCAAAGAAAAGGGAATCTCTCACAGAAGTGCTGAGCTGCCTTTCGAGGTTCCAAGGCATCTCGTGGCTTCACAGCTTCCGAAGTCACACGCTCCCACTGCAGAACAATCTAAAATGCATTTGGAAAGATTTGAATCTGAACAAAATCTCAAGCTTTTAATCTCAAACCTTCCTTGTTCCCCTTTGTTCCCTTTCCATAAACACAAACTCCTGCGGTAATCTTACTTCAGATGATTGGTGATAAGAATAAGAATCAAGTCAAGCCTGGATTTTCTGTTTTAATGCAAGAGCCAGTCAGAATACAAACCTGTTAGATATGTGTATTTGCATGACTCAGGAAAAATCCACAATGCTCACTCCCTCTTTTCAACTCTATTCCAAGCTAGAAATAAATTGCATATCCTTAAACTAAATACTAAAATTTGAAACCTTAGTCATTACTATTCACACATTTCTAGTCTCACCCTCATGCCTTAAAATACATCAGTATAATTCAAAACTCTTGTGTGTAAAATGCCCACATGTCCATATTCTCAAAACACTTCATGATCAGCTGCCATTTTTAAAACCATTACAAATGTATTTTTATTATAAGCTACTACAAATTCTTTTGGAAATCTGGCCAGGTATAAACTTTATATAAATAAACGATTATTTCACATATACCATGAGTAACAAGAACTAAACTTAATACTTTTCATGGTATGCAATGAAATGATCATAAAGAAAAACATTTTCAGGACACAGAGGCAGTATGACACAGTTTAAGAATACAATTCCAGAGTTAGCACTACTACTTACTAGCCAGGGGACCCTTGGCAAGTGATTTAATTTCTGATCTCAATTTCTTCATCTGTTTAATGAGATAACATACATGAAGGGTCTGGCACACAAAAAGCACTCAATAAATATCAGTTGTCAACCCTTCTATGATACTTTCCTGATTATGGGAAATGTGGACAGATCTAAGAGAATGCCAAGATGGATGGGCTGAATCTGGTGATTCAGTGGGCAACTGGGAAAACAGCACTTTCACTAAGAAATAAGCATGTCAATAAGAAGAGTTTGGGGACAGGGAAGAAGAAAATGAGTCAGGTTCTGGACAAGCTGGATTTGAGGTGCCAGGTAGAGATTTATGGATGATATGTAGGAATGGGTCAAGTGTGTGAGAGAAGGTGGAATCATCCCCACGGGACAGTTATGATCACCAGGAGAGTGAGTGGAGGTATCCGAGAAGAGAAGAGGAATCAGCAAGAGCTAGAGGCAGAAATGAAAAAGTTAGGGGAGAGCTAGGAGAAAGGTCATGAGAGAAAAAGCTAAGCAGAAAAGCTAAGGCAGGTGAAAATGAGCTCACATGCTACCTTTAAGAGAACAGTAGAGGATGGAGGCCAGACCTAGATCACAAAGGATTAAGAACTGAGGAGACAGTGAGGAGGTGGGAGAGATAACAGAAAACAATCCACAGTTCTGTTGGGGGATGAGGAACATATTAGAGTAAGAGTAGCTCAAGTATGTTTATACACAGAAAGAAAACAGCCAACACAGGGTGAGACTGAAGATGCAGTGGTGGGGCAGTAGAGGGAAATAATTATTAGTAAAATATCACAGAGGAAGCTGGTGATTGTAAGGAACAGAACTGAAAGATAAAAAGGAAAAACTAAAGGCTTATCAGTGAAATAAAAGTGGCATCCTTATTCCCGTTAGATAGGAGGAATGTAGAATATGGTTGAAGAAATGGAGACAATTTAAGACAGAGATAGGGAAGGAAGGGGACTCCTGTCAGAGAGCCTCATTTTTTCCGTGTCACCTGCGGAGAATGAAGCAGGAGCAGCCCAGAGTCAGCCTGAAACAAGAGACAGATAAAGCTCTGCAGCCAAGCCGCAGGGGCCAGGCTGAGGTTGCATGGCATGAAGCCGCAGAGTCCAATTTGCTTACTTCCAGGCCAGGCTGCTAGGTATTTTACTTTATTTTACTTCACCCTTACCAAGCTCTGCAAGAGAGGTCCTGGTTTCTGCATTTTACAGATGAAGAAACAGAGACTCAACGTTGCCTTGTCATATCGCTACTGGCTTGTCAAGCCAGGACCCCAAATCCAGGTATCTTTGACTCCAAAGCCTATGCTCTTTCCACCATGACAACCTGCTACCAAACTATCTCAAGCCTTTACATGACCATCCCACACCTACCTGCCCCAAGTCCACTACTGGCTATGTCTAGGATTAATCCAGTGCTACAATTGTGTTTGGCAATGCACTATGATAATTATTTCAGCATGCATTTTCTGGACCAACTTCAAAGTGCTTCTGAAATATGGACTCACCAGCACCCCCTTCCCTGCTGACCTATAGAAGCGGTTCTCAACCTGTGGGTCGCGACCCCTTTGGCGGTCAAATGACCCTTTCATAGGGGTCGCCTAAGACCATCCTGCATATCAGATATTTACATTTCGATTCATAACAGTAGCAACATTACAGTTATGAAGTAGCAATGAAAATAATTTTATGGTTGGGTCACAACATGAGGAACTGTATTTAAAGGGCCAGAAGGTTGAGAACCACTGACCTATAGGGAGGTGATACTACAATCAGATAGTTGGGATATGTCCACCATCATGTGTTATAGTTTGAGCCAAGGAGGAATCTAGAACAAAACAGTTTGGGGAGCCCCCTAGGCCTCCACACCAAGTAACATTGGTTTAAAGTGTTTGAAGGAGAAAGGCACCAACCACAGGCTGGCAGGCATTTACTGGTGCTGTATACTTGGTTACCTCTGACTTCCTACTTAAGCCTGTACTTGACCAAGTTGGGGGAGACCATCAAGAAGACAAGACTGAGTCAAAGTAAAGTTCAACCAAGAAGATAAAAACGGGAACAGTCAGTGAGAGGAGGACAAAAAAGACCATTCCTCACTCAGGCTCTGAGATGTAAGAAATGTGCCCCGAAGAGGAGGAGTCAGGTTTGAATCGTTCTTAGTGTGACTTACTCTCTTTCTAGACTGCTAAGAGAATCTGTCCTGAAGCTGGGTCATACTGCTTTTTTCATTAGCAGGGCAGAATTCACTTATTTTCGGAATCTTTGTAAGATGACATTTTCTCCTAGGTCCAATAAGGATAAGGCACAATCTAGTGACTAGAGCATGAGATTTAAGGACTAGCATCTAATACCTTTCCTTAAGTAGCTGGGTCAGTTATAGGCCATCAGTATCTCTGATTTGACATAAAGATGACAATTCAGCCAAGAAATACCAAAGGATTAATGTTTGTTCAAAGTGTTGAATAAGATACTTAGAATTAAAATAAAAAGCCATATTAACTGTGTGTGTGGGGAGTGGGGGGGGGGGGGGGATATACAGTACCTGGTCAGCCCAGCCCTCGGTCTTACAGTTACTGTGATCAAATTCCTTCAGAGGCACTTTAGAGTGGACAAGGCCTATGTGGGTCTGGAGCTTGTGTTTGACAGCTTTGATGTCCTAGTAGGGAAAGACAGAACAGGAAGCCCACACATCTGGTCAATTAGTACTAGTTTTCAGTAGGAAAGAAGCACCATCATAAATACCAGCCTTTTCTAAACTCCAATTAACAGAAGCAAAATATCAAATTGTGAGTGTGAAAAAATAAGAGAAGGGAGTAAAAGTCCTACCTTGAGCCCTGTCCCAGAGATATCTAAGCAGTTTAGTTTTCTAAAAGAAAAGAGGTATCCAATTCCTGCATCTGTGATCTCAGGGTTACCTAGATGTCAAAAACAGGTAGTATTCAGTTACAGTTTACTGCCAAAATGCCAACAGTAAGGTCAGAAAAAAAGGCCACACAATGATAAAATATTGAGTGAACAAACTTTTCAGAATAAATAAAATATAGGAATCTTATCTTTATTCTATCTGTAATATGAAGGAGTCACACACCAGATGATCCTTAAGATCCTTTATAGCTCTAACTTTTTAGGAGATGGGGGTTTAGCAGAAAAAAAAATGAACCAGGTAATTATCCCAAAGGGTTTAATTTACAACCATATGGAAACAACATACATAAACATGCATTAAAATGGTTCGTCAGACTTTGTTCATGGCTGTTTCACTTCCAAAGTAAAAAGATTTGTTTTAAGAAGACTTTCAAAGGCACTTTGACACAGAGATTATTATTACTCTTACTAATTTGCTTTTTTTCCCAAAGCCTTTCTTACATATTACTTTCTCACATCAGCGTCCTATATTTAGCACTGAGCCCTCAAGGCCATAAGCACAATTCCTGGCACATTGTAGATGCTCAAAAAATATTTGTTGAATGAATACACTTTCGTGGGAGGAAGGCAGGACATTCATTATTATCTTCACGTTACAGAAGTCAAAACCAAGGCTCAGAGAGGTAAATAACTTGTCCAAGGGCACACAGCCGCTAATAAGAGTAGCAGAGCAAGGAGTGTCCTCTGACCTCAAACCCTGCTCCTTCTATTTTTCTGACACCATACTATCCTGCCATACATTCAAAGGATGCTCAGTTAAATTGTAAATGATCCCTATCAACTTTCTACCATTGGTGTCAGTATCTGGATAACCCTGAGTAAGTTATTGCAATTGTGGATTCATTCAGATTTTCATCAAGCAAATACTGATTTAAAAAAACAACAACAAAAAACTTTACCCTGGCTGGTTTTTCTCAGTAGTTAGAGCATCAGCCTGCAGACTGAAAGGTCAAGGGCACATACCTTGAATGCAGCTCCCCAGCCCAGGTAGGGGCACATGTGGGAGGCAACCAATCGATGTGTCTCTCTCATGTCAATGTTTCTCTCTCTTTCCCTCCTTTCCTTCCTTTAACTCTAAAAATCAGTGGAAAAAATATCCTCAGGTGAGGATTAACAACAAAAAAAAAGGACCTAGATGAGACACTATGAGTCAGCAACTCAAAGAAAGTAAAGATAAACCAAATAGATGCTAAGAATATGATGAAAGGCTGCCTTGTCTGTACACAGTGAGTGGCATGGATGAATTTATATGAGCTTTTCCTACTTGTAAAGAAGTGCCAACATGCCAGGAGAGGTATTTAGCCACAAGTCAAGAGCCTTTGGCTTTAGTCCTGCTCTATCATTAACTTGCTGTGGCACCTAGCAAAGTCCCCTCAATTTATCACTTCTAAAATGAAGGGAAGAACTAGATGATTTCTAAGGCCATCTTTCAACATTAATAATCTATAATTTCTAATAAAACTTACAAGATAAGTCTAATAATGTTAGATTTTCAAGGCCTCTTTTCATCACTCGAACTGGTGCTGTCATTTTCCGTACCCCGGCATCAGATAAACAATTATCCTTCAAGTGGAGTTGAGTTACACTAGGAAAACAAAGTCCATAAATAAATTATTTAAGAGAGTTTGAGAAAGTCCAGGTATGTAACACACTTTCATAAAAGTTCATTTAAAAATATTAAATATCCTCTACCCCCTGCTATTTCACACTCAATGCATTCAACGAAGCTAAAGATCTTTTGGTGCTATTTCAGTTACTAAGTGAGGATTAACTTAGGGATCAAAGTGTCATGTAGTATTAATCTCAGATGGCAGAAGGCACTAGAGGTATATGGTGGAATGAGATAAATGGACTTCATTAGGGAGATAAATATACACTTATTAAACACAAAAGCTGCATTCCTGACAAATGCTGTGGGAACCAAAAATACTCTAAATGTCAGGAAAGTCTGCTAAAGAACTCCTTTGAGAATTCTTTTGGCAAAACAAACAATCCTCTAAGTTTAACTAGCTTTATAAATGCAGATTTTCAGATTGAGTTTTTAAGGTATACCTATAACCCAGTCCATCCAGCTAAACTGACACTGGTGTATTAATTCGCTTTAGTGTCCATGCACAACAGGAAACCTGAACTTCTACTAACCTCACACAAAAATACCTTTGCACAGAGCAGTATGTAGGTGTCTGTCCTAGGAAGGCCCCAGCAAGTGGGTTAGAGCCAGGTTTGTAACGCTGCTATCCCTCTGGGTGTTTATGAAACCACAAAGAAATCCATTCGGCCTCCTGTCTGCCGGTCAGACTGAGATCAATCTAATTATTTGTGAATGGTATGAACTGGGTGATTTCTTTAAATTATGGTTCTTGAAAAAGATGTATTTGGCTGTCTTTAATAGTTGACTTTTTAAATAATTTATAGTTCATTGATAGTTAAAATAGAAAATGATGACTTTGGAAAATTGTATGATTTCTCATCTCTTGCTAGATTAAACTAAGACTAGACAAATAAAGGAAAAAATAATTTTTCAGCCCAGGTAGCTTCAAGTACTATATGTTTAAAGGTTATTTAGAAAAATGAAATAACTGACTTACTTTCATAAGAGTTATCTAATCTATATTGCTCCTATCAAGTAAATGGAAATTGAAAAAGTTTACGAAAAAACTTAGCAAATAAACAGAGTTGGGAGGTAATCGGTATTCTTGAAGATGATCCTATTGGATCATCCTTTCTAAAAAATAATAAAACAATTCATCTGCAAATGGTGGTAATACCTAGATAGGGCCTCATTGGTGAGATGTTCTAGGAGTTCATGTTCATCTCCAAGCTTGCAACAGGAAAGATCCAGGCAGGTCAACTCCCGGAAAGACTTAATCTCCTCAAGTTTTTCTGAAATCACCAGATACCTGTGGAGTATGGAGAAGAATCAACAGTTTTTCTTTTCCTTCTTAAAAAACATTACCAAAAAGATGAACAAAAAGAAAAAAAGATTACCAAGAAGAAAACAAACAAAAAAAGACAAAAATAAAAAAATTACTATTTGTGGCTTTGTGCCGCACAACCAACATTCCATCAGGAAAAAGTACTATGTAATAACCAGACTTCACTGATTACTATGTGGGCACTGGTTGAATTTTTTTCATTAGTAAATACATTGGAAGTCTTTTTACATGACAGTGGAATAAAAACTTTAAGTAAATGAAAGTATATGAGCAAAGACCAGTCACAGGAGAAAACATCTGCTTTTTTAGACGACAGACAGACTTTGGTGGTTTGGGGACCTTATCGGAGAATTTCCAAACTGTAGGATACTCAAAATTTTTAATAAATTATTCCTTTAAGATTGCTTTTTATCTAATGCTCAATATTTAGTGGTTTAAAAACTGGAACAGGGTCAACACTGGGTTCTAATCTTCACATCCAAAGAGGTATTTGACAGATCACATTTTATCTTTTCCATGAGTTTGAGTAACTGCCCACTCCACTGTGCCTCTGTTACCCAGCTAACTTTACTACAAAAAGTATGTGCAGCATGACTACTCACTCTAATCTAGATGGTTATTAAGACAAACCTGTGAGCTCAACAGCCAAGTTAATTACACTGGAGTACCTTGCCAGACTGTTATCAGGAAGTATCAGGGAGGTGCCTCCCCTGAAGAGTAAAGGAGATCAAAAAGGCACTCCATATCCCAGGCTCTGGCCTCCACCCTGCTTTCTAGTCCTTCATGAAAAGGGATTAGGTGTGAGTGACAGAGGGAGAGGATCTTAAAAGAACAGGGAAACTAACTTGTGGCAAAAGCATGCCTTTCTGATCCATTTTCCTCATGGATGTCTAGATGTTTCCACAGAGAGATGGATGGCATGCCAGGACCAGTGGGGTTATACTTAGAAGTGTTCACATCTCTATTCTGTCAGCAGGATCATAATTACCACAAACAGGATGAAATAATGACAGTATGAGGGAAGTTAGATCTCTTTTCTTTCTCCTTCCAACAAAAAATGTACTGAAGCTGTCACTGGCATGACTGCCATGTACAGATGACCTAGGGCACTGATACCCCCTCTAAGATGCCTGATGACCGAGCTCAGCTGGGTACACAAATGAGCCTTATTTCCTCACACGTATTTTAACTGCACTATAAATAAAGCTGCTGTTTCCCATTTTACAATTACAGAGCTGAAGTGGGTAAATGGGAATTTGGGGGATTACTGGCAATCAGAAAAAGAAAAATACACATCCTTTGATCAATTAATCAAAAGATTTTTAGTAATTCTGGAACACATTATCTGAGAAGGACTAACAATGTATAATCTGATTAACAAACATTACAAAAACCAAAGCTAAGAAACCAACATGCAAAACCACAGACCTTACTAGAAGTTTATCTAGAACAGCAATTTTCAACCTTTTTTTATCTCTTGGCACACATGAACTAATTGCTAACATTCTGTGGCACACCAAAAAATATATTTTTTGCCCATCTAAGAAGAAAATAGGTATAACTTTGACTGATTTACAAAAATATAATAACTAGAGGCCCGGTGCATGAAATTCGTGCACTGGGGGTAGGTGTCCCTCAGCCCAGCCTGCACCCTCTCCAATCTGGGACCCCTTGGACATCCCTCTCACAATCCAGGACTGTTGGCTCCCAACTGCTTGCCTGCCTGCCAGCCTGATCACCTCCTAACCACTCCCCTGCCAGCCCGATCGGCGCCTAATCGCTCTCCTGCCGGCCCGGTCGCCCCCAACTGCCCTCCCCTGCCGTCCATCTTGTGGCTGTGGGCACCGCCATCTTTGAGGGTGTGGCAGTTAATTAGCATATTCCCTCCTTATTGGCCCTGGGTGCTGCCATCTTTGAGGGTGAGGCAGTCAATTAGCATATTCCCTTCTTTTTTTTCTTTTTTTCCCCCAAATATATTTTATTGATTTTTTACAGAGAGGAAGGGAGAGGGATAGAGAGTTAGAAACATCGATGAGAGAGAAACATCGACCAGCTGCCTCCTGCACACCTCCCACTGGGGATGTGCCCGCAATCAAGGTACATGCTCTTGACTGGAATCGAACCTGGGACCCTTCAGTCCGCAGGCCGACGCTCTATCCACTGAGCCAAACCGGTTTGACAGCATATTCCCTTCTTATTGGCTGTGGGCGCTGCCATCTTTGAGGGCGGGCAGTCAACTAGCATATTCCCTCCTTATTGGCTGTGGGCACCGCCATCTTTGTGACAGCATGAGGGTCAATTACCATATTCCCTCTTTATTAGATAGGATAGTTATTACCTACCCTTTTGCTCCAAAGTGACTTTAAAAAATCAGGTGCCTGTACTTGTATATAAGGATTTCTGGTACCAAGAATTAACCAATCAGAAGCAACCTTATTATGTAATGTGACCAATAAGATGCAAATCTATTATATGACCTACATATTTATGGTTCAAGACAGGGTATTCACACCAGAAGGCTATTGTTGTGTTGGCTATTGTAATTTTTTTATTTGACAATCTGAGGAAAAAAGAAGTCAGTGCTGTTGACTAAATAGTCAGGGAGTGCATGTTTTAAAAATTCTTGTGGCACACTGGTTGAAAAAATCACTGATCTAGAACATAAGTTCTAGGGTCCTGCTCAAAACTACTCTTCCAATTTGCCACTTCAAGAGTTCAGAACAGCAAGTCGGGCCACCTTCAGCCCCGTGAGAAGGATGCGGTACTGTAGGACCTATGGGTGCGGCTATGGTCAGAAATTAGTCGGGAGAGACTAAAAATGGCGGCAGAGTAGGAGGATGCTGCACAGACATGCTCCCAGGAACAAGCTGGAATTACAACTGAAATACAGAAAGGCTTCCTGAATAATCAATGGAAAACTCACAGGAGAGAACCCTGATACCCAAGGACCGAAGATGGAGACCGCATAGAGACTGGTAGGAGGGGCGAATGGGCTGGCCAGGCACCTACAGAAGGCAACTGAAGTCCCTGAGAGCTATCTCAGCTGTGGAGGGGAGCCACTGAGAACTCTGAGATCTAATCCCGAAGCTGAGCTCCCCAGCAGAGAGCACCAAACTGAGGAGGGTATCCACATAGTATCTAGCTGTGAAAAGCAGTGAGGTGCTGTCTGCCAGGGAGTGGCAGCTGAAAGTTCTGGCACCCTCGTAAAGGGCCAATGCACAAAAATTCCCTGTGGAGCCACCCACTTTATGCTCTGGCAGAGGGAGGGTGAAGTGGACTGGAGCTGTAAGAGCAGAACCCAGGACTGGGGACTCGAGGGATAGAGCTCAGAAGGCAGACACCCCAAGTTTCCTAGGCTGAGTCATTTCCTCACACAGTGGAGGACATCTTTCCCACATAGACATCTGCCTTGCCTGGGGGGAAGACAGCTGACACACACTGAGGCCACTTAAGAGATTAAAACTAACAATTAGCCTCCAGGCAGAAGCAACTGCCCCACCCTGTTGAAAAA